AACATAGCAATATGATAAAGAAAAAATTTTAAATAATGACCAGTTATTTCATTGATTTTGAACATTTTATTTCTATCACAGTGTAACAAATAAGTTTTTGTAATTATAAGAATATCTTATAAAATAGAAGAATAGTGATCGGCCATATTTCTTTTTCATATGTTTCCATTAAAAGAAAATTTCTTATAAAGATTTTATTTTTAACATTTGATATCGATACCTATTTTGGGTGAATATTTTTAGATAATATGTTTAACGTCAAAAAACCCTCCTGAAAAGATTCTGATAAAATGAGTGAATTTAAGAATATGCTATATTATATGTTTATTATATGCTATACAGGATGTCCTAAAACTACCGTAATTCCTCTTAATAGCAGATTCCTTAGAATATTTCAGGACGAAAATCCTAATACAAAAATGTTGAGACTATAATAGTTTTTAAACGGGAAGCGATTATATTTTACGAATGACAGGGCTGAAATTTCGCGCACTCAGGCACGGCGAAATAACAAGTGAAAAAAGTGCTCTGTGAATGGGGTGCCCTTTTTATGATATTATGATTATCGCATAAATTTACAATAGCATTGTCATTATATGTTTTCCCGCTTTTCTACGCATTGCATTAGTATATTCTTATTACGAATAATGGATGCAAGAACTAAAGGCATCTTAAAAATGATTCAAGTAAAAATTTGTGCCATGTTTCAACTTCAGTTGTCAAAATGGTCAATCAATGTTATCATGAAGGTGTCTACTATTTCGCCATGCCTGAGCGCGCGAAATCTAAGCCCTGTAATTCGTAAAATATAATCGCTTTCCATTTAAAAACTATTATAGTCTTGACATTTTTGTATTATGATTTTCGTCTTCAAATTTTGTAAGGAATCTGTCATTAAGAGGAAATATGGTACTTTTAGGACACCCTGTACAATAAGAAATGTAATATATACCACTAAAAAAAAAAAAAAAAAAAAAAAAAAAAAAAAAAAAAAAAAAAAAAAAAAAAAAAAAAAAAAAAAAAAAAAAAAAAAAAAAAAAAAAAAAAAAAAAAAAAAAAAAAAAAAAAAAAAAAAAAAAAAAAAAAAAAAAAAAAAAAAAAAAAAAAAAAAAAAAAAAAAAAAAAAAAAAAAAAAAAAAAAAAAAAAAAAAAAAAAAAAAAAAAAAAAAAAAAAAAAAAAGGGAGAACATTTTTCATATGCTAAAAATTGCACTATTTTCAAACCGGTAAAACTCGGCGAAAAAGCATGGTACACAAAAGATTAAAAAAATCATTTTGAAGTTTCGACTTTAACGCGCTATTTGTAATTTAAATTTTTTTATCTTCCTTGTTATATGCTTTTAAAAATAACACGTTGTTTTGTTTTTTAAAATTTGTGGTATTGGTATTATTAGTATTTGTGAAACTCTGCACCTCGATAAAAAAATTTCTCTCGAATAATTTATGTCAAATTCCATGAACTACATAACTACAACATTTCCCCTACAAAACGCTTTTTTTAAAATTTCCCTACGATTTTTTTTTTAGTCGAGTTACACGATTTTGAAACTAAACTTATTTTTTAAAAATCCTTTTTAGAGCATAAAACTGAGAAGACAAAAAGATATATATATATATATA